TTCATTTGCTGATAAATAAATAAAAAAGAAAATGCCACAATCCATGTTTCAAATCGAGCTGAGATTAAATAAAATTAAAAAAAAAAAAAAGAAGATAGATTCAAATTTGAGATAAAGTAAAAGATGATTCTTAAAAATAAAAAATAAAAGGGGATTTATTTATACATTCAAATTAAGTATTTAAAATATTTTTAAATATAATAAATTTTTTATTTTGGAAATTTAAATGGTGAAATTCGCTCAAAATTCAGCACAAGTCACTGCAAAAGAGTGAGTTCAACTGTTTATTTATTTCATAAACTTACTTCCAATCACCACTATAAGACAACAAGAAAGAAGGGATTATGTAGAATGCAGCAGTGATTCAAGATTTTTAGAAGTTTCCAGCTAAGCCTGGTTTGGCAAATCATTTGGGCTAAATAATTACAAAAACATGAAAAAAAAAAAAATTACAAAATCACAATAAGACAAAAAAGTTACAAAATTATCTAATTGACCCATATACAAACAAAAAGTCAAAAAAATATCATTTCCAAGTGAAGGGCAATTTTGTCATTCCAATTCCAAAAGGCCAAATAAAAAAACCAAACAAATAAAAAAAAATTCCAGACTAAAAAAGTCCAAAAATCTCAAAAAAATAACTAAAAAAGTCATTATCAAACGATCCTAAAGCCAAGTTTGGGAAGACTAAATAAGTGCACTTTTTGACTTTTCTTGTATTATATGTAGAAAAAGTAGAGAGGAGATGCTAATTGATGTGACCCAAAAAAGATAAAAAGATAAAATAAGTGCACTTTTTTAGTTTAGCCAAACTTGACCTAAATGTCAAAATGAAACAATATCAAAGTTAAGTCATTGAAAAATTTAAGCCTTCAATAATATAATTTTTTTTTTAAAAATGTTTTTTTATATAAACTTTAAATAACAACTTGAATAGCCTAATAATTGAACTACTTCTAGATTACCCATTGGTGGCATACAGGCAAAACACTATGAGATCCCACCATGAAGTTGAAGTTGATGGACCACAAATTACAAATCCATATGTACCTTCTCTACCTTTACCACTAGGTTATCTTGAATTTTTATTTTTTTTTTGACAATGTGGCAACCGCCAATCAAGCTTCGAGGTAGCATCATAGCATCTCATGTAAGCGTTGATTGCTTAACGTATCATAAGTGTGTTGGGCCTTGATGATATATGGAAATTATTCTAGAATCAACGTCAACAATGGATCACATTGCCCAACTGCCCCAAATTTTTTTTTTTATACTAAATTTCAGTATATATATTGTATTTATTGATTTATTTAGTTTTAGATTTTCCATAAATATTCTACTTTACAGGTGAATCTAAAAAATTAAAATTAAAGTTAACTAAAATATGAAAAGGTTCATCAAAGACAACCCAACACAAAATAAATAAATAAACTCAAAAGTTATATTTGAAAACTCAAAATCAAATACTACCAATTGAGAATTATGAACAAAACTATTCTTTTCGCTAATTAAAAAAAAGGTAAGAGCTAGTCTTTCTTATAATTGTAAATTTTTTTATTTTATTGTGTTTCTCTCAAAAAAAATAAATAAATAAAAAACAAAAACAAAAAACAAAACAAAACAAGAAGTGTGTTTTCTAAAATAGATTATCAATTTTTTTAGAGACAAACTCGATAAAAAAAAATTACCATCGATTTCATTTATTTTTTCAAGAGCAATATAGACAGAAGGCTTTACAAAACCTGTGATGAGCCATACGAACTTAGATAGTACTGTCCAATTTAGATTATAAATTGGAAAGAAACTTACCCTTAATCGAATATCGCAATGAAACATAAGTACATTTAATTTGATAATCTGTTAGTCTCACCACCACCACTACAATAATTCATATTCTTTTTTTCTTTTTTTTTATTCAAAACAATAATTCATATTCAAACACTTTAAATATAAAAAATAACATTAATTTAGACCATCTCTTATATATAAAATACAATATTTGTATATAGTAAGATAACTCTAAGATATATATATATATAGATCTCCTGAAGATCTTATAAGCTCCTTCGAGGCATCAACTCTTCACATGTACATGATGATATATCAGTTAGAACTCCGAATTGGGACATTATTATCATTGGAAGAGTTATGAAAGCGATTGTACCAAAAAAAAATCAATTATCAAAGATAAGATGTCTCCTCTCAAACTCAACAGTTCCAAGTGGTACGGCTTATAGATATCTCTTAGGATAATCATTGTATTATATAAAATTAAATTAAATTAAATGATGGTTCAATGCACCAAAGGATATACAAATCTAAGGAGATTGGAAAAAATTAATGGGATGAATCATTATTGTATTATCATTGGAAGAGTTATGAAAGCGATTGTACCAAAAAAAAATCAATTATCAAAGATAAGATGTCTCCTCTCAAACTCAACAGTTTCAAGTGGTACGGCTTATAGATATATCTTAGGATAATCATTGTATTATATAAAATTAAATTAAATTAAATTAAATGATGGTTCAATGCACCAAAGGATATACAAATCTAAGGAGATTGGAAAAAATTAATGATTAGTAACTTGAATTTGAATTTGTTCAAATTTTCTAAATTTATACATGATAGTTGATCGGTCGCTCGGATAATCATTTGAATAGTCGATGTAATACTATCTACTCTGATTGTTACCCTTATCAATCATAACTATCATCTTATTATCGAATGACCAGCTAAATGATCAATAAATAAAAATTCAAACGATTCAGACAAATTGAAATTCAAGTCACCAATCACATTGATTTGAAAAAGAAAAAAAAATGGATACATTATCATATTGCATGTTTAGTCTAGTCAAGATGCTTTGTCTTGATTACCATCTTGTACTAATATTAGAAAAGTAAGGGCCTGATTTCAACTCCTATTTCGCCTAGGTGATGAAGGACAGATGAAGACCAAAGCTAACTGTGATTAGACCCATGAATATGTGGCTTTTTACACAACACTTGCCAATAGGCCTTACCAAAAACAAAAATTAATTTAAAAAAAAAAAAAGTGTATAGATAGCCTTTACTTATATTTATGTAATAAAAATGTGTAGGTATATCATTTATTATACTTTAAAAAATAAATAAATCCATACATCAAAAAAATTTTGAACAATATTCAAATAGTATATAAAAATCCTTTAGTATTTTTATACTTTTTTCTATATCATATAAAACAATATTAATATACCTATACAAGCTTATTAGTAGGCTGCTTTGGAAATAGCTTATAAGTTGATTTTTTTACTTATTATGAAAAAACGTGCAAAATAAAATAAATGTAATGTAATTTAAATAAGGCAATAATTCAATAAACAACTTATAAGTCATGTTTCCAAATAAACTTTACAAAAGAGAAAAAAATTTACACGGTTCTCGTTTAAATGGATATCTAAAAAAAATGAGTCATGTTATCCAAAAGAGAAATTTCCATCCCTGCAGTCTCATCTTTACCTTTCCTCTCTTTCCATTCATGAGCCGCCATCATATACCACCACCCTCATCCCTACCCTCCTACTCTCCTTGTCAACCACCATTATTGATCACCACCGGCCCTAATCAACACCAATTGGCTCCTTCCTCACACCCTCACACTTGGTTTCTGTATATTAACTCGAGAAGTTGAGGAAGAGAGGATGTGAAGGTTAGTGGTGGCAATGGTGGTGGTAATTGTTGGGGATAGAGGGAAAGAAATGATAATAGGTTGTGGTTGAAAAAAAGAGAAAACATCAATGGTTATTAGTAGGGGTGTAAATTTGGGCCAGCCCGACCCACCCAAGCCCGAGCTTGAGTCAGCCCATATCAGGTCGCACGAGCTTTGGCTAAAATTCGGGCTAGGTTGGATCACGGGCCAAAAAATTAGGCACAGGTCCAGAGGATATTCAAGCCTTGGACAGGCCAGCGAGCTGAGTCGGCGAGCCTGGACATTTTTTACTATTTTTTTCAAAAAAAAATTATTTTTTTCACCAAAAATGACACTAGGTTAGGCCAAGCCGAGCTTCAAAATAACGATCTAGGCCCAATGTCCCAGATTGGGCCCGAGGCCGGGCCCACCCTGAGCCTAGGTCAAATTTTGGGCCTCCCACAGGCCCGGAGTAATTTTTACACTCCAGTTACCAGTTGCAGCTTGGAGAAACTAGAGAAGGAAAGGGGAGGCAGATCAAAAATAATGGATAGTGTACATTCGACACCACTCACAAACTAACTGACATGGTCAATTTTCACTGATTAATTATACATCTTACATTTATAGGACATGTGTGAAACTTAACTCATTACAAAAAGATTAATGGGTTTGAGTAGAATTACAAATTTGCCTTTATTAACCCAAAAATTATTTAGAATTATTATTTTGTGATTCAAGTTTATTCTACATATAAATTTCATACTACGCAAATTTAATTTCCACTACACAACTATCCATTCAAAAAAATTTAAGTTAATAAGTCTAGAATCATAGACTTTTCCAGTAGCTTTTGACATGAAGATTGTTATTACATGAGTTAAATATTTATCTCACACATTTTGCCCTTGTAGTGATATTATAGAATACTATTTTTTTTTTTTCAAAGTGAATTCAATCTCGATAAATATGTATGACTTCAATTGAAACCAATTAGAGTCACCCATATTAGTCGGAATTGTGAATCCACTTTGGAACTAAAAATTAATTTTCATATATAATAATATTTTTTGTTGGTATTATTATTATTATTATTATTATTATTATTATTATTATTATTTAATTTTTGTAAATTTGTGTGGGTGAATGTCATGGAATTTTTTTGATGGGCCGACAAGGGGCTCCAATGATGCCACTAATGTAGGTGACAACCTTTGATTCCCCACTGATCTTTGCAGGTATCTGTCCCTCTCTCCCTCTCATTACCCTCCCATCTCTTCTTCTAGTTATTTATTTTGTGGTTTGCATTAACACTAAATCATTGAACCTCACGAAATTCCAACACAAACCCTCCTCTCCCCTCACTACTTTATATCTCATCTCTTGTCTTCTCAATTCCTTTCGAAGAGTACTTTGATTAGTTTGTTATCAACTCCCTCGGAAACTCTAGCCTCTTAAAAAACAATCAAAATTTTAAATGAAAGGTGTAGATTTAAACTTCTAGTCAGGACACATCTTTAATAAATATTGTCGGTAGATTTAAAATTCTGAATATTTTTCTCTATTATTATTATATTTTTTAAGTATATGGTATTATTGTTCTATTTAACCTCCTCCCCACCAACCTAGCTTTACAATTATATATATCACTCATCTCAGTTGCATTAAACCTATCCCTTCCTCTACAGTTCCTTGATTGAAACTTTTAAAAACACCAACTAAACACCTTGATTTTTGTTTTATATTCCTTTTTTCTTTTTTCTTTCTTTTAGCCATGAGTTTCCAACCAAACACATCTCTTAATCTTAGTTTACCCAGTGGTAATGATCTCAACTTGGACCTGGCTCTTGATAGGTCTTCTTCTTCTTCTTCATCCCCACTTAGCCCAGCCACTCCTCGAGTTTTCTCTTGCAACTATTGCCAGAGAAGGTTTTACAGTTCACAAGCCCTTGGAGGACACCAAAATGCTCATAAGCTTGAAAGAACCCTAGCCAAGAAAAGCAGGGATCTGAGTTCAGCTGTTCGACCACACACAGGATGGAATGATAGGTCCGGTTCCAGTTCGAGTGCTTCGAGCCACGCTCAACTGTTGCAGCCACCACACATGGCCGGATTTGAGCATCAAGGGCACCAAGCAAGGTTTCCGGGCGAAATGAACTATCATGGTAGGAAAGAGATGAATTATGGTTCTAGAGAAGGTGAAATTGTTCAAGAGGAGTTTAGTCAACTTGACTTGTCCCTGAGGCTTTGAATAATTCTTACCATTTTATATGCTATTTTCAATTTTTTTGGGTTAACTTTCAAGTTTCAATTTATTGTGAAAAGGTATTTGAATTGGAAAATGAAGAGTAAAATAATGGAATTGAAAATTTAAGAAGGTATCAGTATCGGCGATACGGGTCAAATATTGATCAATATATTGATGAATAAAAGTATCAGAGGTTCAAAATACTGATATCTAATGGCTAATAATCGATATTTAAAATCATGGTGACCTTACAAGAAGTGGTCATTGATAGTATGCATGTATGTGTTGATCATTGATAATTTAATGAGCTAGGTATCATTCCCATTCTTTCCAAACATATTTGCATTCTAGTTGACACAATGTGAGCATGATGAAAAAATTTATAAAAAAAAAAACTAGATACAAGACACAAACAAAAATCTGGTCATTGATATAACTTCAGATTCTTATGGAAGATAGCATTTAGCTGGTCATTGATATAACTTGTGTTGCTTTCAGTTGAGTACTGTCCCCTCTAGTTAGAACTTTTGTGTAAGAAATATTATTTATTGCAAGTCTTTTGAATTTATTTTTATTCTCTTTTCCACATTTATACATTTCTATTTGTGTGTAGAGCCATAGATGGTTATTATTCTTGCCATATGGCTTTTCCATTCTCTATATCTGGTATTACAATTTTCAGAACAACCATGCTGCCTAGAGTGACTACATTGATTTTTAACTCTTTTAGTTTCTTAGCATTTTGATATTTAAGTTATCTATTTAAATTCAAAAGTTAAAATTATTACATAATGGTAGTGCAAAAAATTTATATGAATCTTGAAGTTCTTTTGAACATGACATGCATTTTTAGTGATATTAATGATTTAAGATTTGTTTCCAACAACATTTCAATTTTCAAGTTTTGGAAAAGTACTATAAACAGAAGAAAGAATAAAAGAATAAACCTCTAGTTGGTTTACTAAATACTGAATAATATTTTTAGATCAGCAAAAGGAAAACTTTTTGATGGATGAGAACATACAAAGTATGAAAATGCATCAATACAGGGAGGGGGGAGGGAAGTGCAAAGAGCATCACGGAACACCACCTCAATCCCAACTAGGTTAGCACCGAAGAGGGAACCCTATCATGTGCTAGCACTAGCCTCAGACGTTGGGTAGTGCTAGCATATGCCTTTGTAATCTAGAAAAATTGTCGAATTAATCATCTACATGCACCTCGTAATCACTCTTACTTTTCCTTGTTGAAAAGTTTGTGGGTTGTTAATGTCCTCTTCGAATTGAACTACCAACCCCCAATGACTACCAATATTTCAAAAGGTTGTAATACTCCAGAGACTAATTGGAATGCCAAAGCAATTTAACTAGACACACCTCTCTTGCACTACAAATTGACCTTTTTCCCATTCTTCAACTGAATCACACCAATTCTTATCCCACTTTCGTATCTGTTCCTTTCATTCCTTCATATGTTGTACTGAGTTGAAGGTTAGCAGTACGACTCTACCTCACCCCTCTCTTGCAACCACATCCTTCATCCCTCTGTTACACAGTTTTGCTCTGAAATCCTTAAAAGATAAAAAGCTACTCAGTTTCACTACTAAGCTTTCATAAAGTGTCACGACCCAAACCCGGCCCTATGGGTTTAGCACCGTAACCGGCCAGTAATCCGAGATTACCGAAGGCCTGCAGAACAGTAGAACAGTAAAACAGAGTACAGGGCCTGGCGGAAGCCAAAACAGTAAATAAACAATGTCCAATGAGCTGTGACGGTCTGTATGCAAAAAGACTTTCATACATATATACATAACATATATACAATCATTTAGAATAAGGACTTACTCCCTATAAAACAGTACAATAAGCATTCGGTCTATACAGAACAGTAAGACAGTACAGAAGGGGGAATTGTAAAACACCTCTAAGCCTTAACACGATAGGCTCGGAATCTCGCAGTAAGGCACATAGGCTGGCTTGACAAAACTGGAGTAACCCTGACGCTCCTAGCCGCGGTCTGGTGCCTGAACACCTACATATATATATGAGCAGTGAGCTAAAGCCCAGTGAATAACATAATGCGTAAAGAGGTTAAGAATGAATGTCCTTACAGTATGAACACAGTTCATTTAAATAGTATTTCAGTCATTCAGTCAGTACAGTCATATGTGGTACATCCATTAGCATATCAGTACAGTAAACAGTAGGTCTTAAAAGACCGAGCAGTAATGATGGCCATCAGTCAGTAAACAGTGGTGGTTCCAACAAGGGGACCGACAGAGAATTCTGTCACAGTAACAGTAAACAGTAGGTGCTAAGGATGCCACAATACAGTTCAGAATATAGGACATGCATTCATTCAGTTAACAGTAAACAAGTTCAGAAAACAGTACAGTTCAGTTATTCAGAAGATAATCATTTGTGAACATATCTTTACACAATCGTTACTCACAGAGTTCTGGGCTACAGTATGCTAGAGCGTGCCTCCCCAGTCGCCAACCCTACACAGTTAACTAAATAAGAACCACACTAAGCTACACAGCTGGAAAGATAATAACTTAATCCCTAATTTGCCTCGGTGTGTTCTACATCTATATCCTCAGTAAGATGCCTTAAACTAGGCTAAGAATGCCTAGAATGGGATGAGGATGCAAAGATGCACGTTTAAAAGCAGTTTCAGAAGTTTCAGAAAACAGAGTCCGCTCGAGCTCCAAGGTTTCCCCGCTCGAGCGGTCATGCAACAAAGGTACACGCTCGAGCGTCAGATTTCCCGCTCGAGTGTACTGTAAAAGTACTGGATGGGTGAAATCTTCGCCCGACGGACGTTCGACGCCCGCTCGATCGTGAGACACATGCCTCCGCTCGAGCTCCCAATCCTCCGCTCAATCGGACTGTAAAACAGTGCAGAGAAAATACTGGATGCTCGGATTCCACGCTCGAGCGTCACTAGTCCCCGCTCGAGCGGGAGTGCAGAATCTGGAAATTCCAGATTGCACCTCCAAGCTCAAACTCAAGCTCAAAAGCATAATTTTCAATCCTCTTGGGCTAATTTCTGGAAAAACATTTGTAAACACATGGAATAACATGAATCAAAACTCAATTTGAGAAATCAAAACCCAAGGGTGTTTAATTCAAATCCAATTTCAAACCATTTTCATGAACATGGAGAACATGCAAACATGCATGAATTTTAAACAACTCAAAGCCTCAATTTGATGCTCTTCGGAGCCAATTGTTTCCAAAACATGATGAAAACATGGACCATTACAAAATTATGGACATGCATGTAACAATTTGCCATGAACTCAACTCAAAATCCAACAATTCAAACATGCATGCATGGATTATGCTCTATATCAACATGTATGAACTAAAACATGACTTAGCTCTACAATTTAACATGGACCATGCACGAATTAGCTCAAACACAAGAATGAGAAGATGAAATCCTTACCTAAGTCTTGTATTCAAGGTTTGGGGAGCTCAAATATGCGATCTATACTTCAATCACCAAGCAATTCTTCAAGTTCCAAGCAATTCAAGATGAATTCACTCTAACTCCCTATTTCTCCTCTTCTAGTCAGCTACACACTCAAGAGAAATGGCTGAGCAAATGTGGTGTAAGGCAAGACTAAGTCTTAGACAAGGTTTATCAATGTGGCCCACTAGGATGGCAATTTGGTAATTAAGCCTAACTCTTTAATTAGCTTATTTTAATCTAATTTAATCACACTAAATCAGATTTCAGATAAATACACCATAAATCACATTAATTATGAGGGTTGAGAAACATTAATCAATTCCCGGTTCGGCCGCCGATAAGGCCTCTAATTAGCAGTTTGAACATAAAACATGAACAGATCAAATAAACAATCAAACAGATAGAATACAAATTAACATACATACTTAGTCAATTCAGTTCCAGTTTTCAGTCAGTCAGTTCAGTACTTTAATCAGTTCAATTATCAGTCATAATCAGTTCAGTTTGACGGTAATCAATGTTTATCGGTAAGCAGTGATGAGGGTTATTACATAAAGCCATCCATTTCCTTCCTCATAAGCTTTTATCATCACCTTCTCACTCTCACCGGCTCCTCTTCTTACTAATGCCTCTACATATGACTTCTTGACTCCATTACCCTACCTTTGCTGCATTTGAAACTGTTGTTTCATCATCATCCATTCTTCGCCTCTGCTCATTACCATTTGCTCCATTTGACCAGGTTTTTGAGGTTTTTAAAACACTGCTCTTTTAACCTTCAATGCCTTGTTATCGCACCATAATCCATCTTCCTTTTGGATCTCCATCTCTGCAGGCACCTCGTAATCATATTTTACAAATCTAAATCTAGACCTTGATACTTTTTTTCTCTTTCTTGGAATGAACGCATCATTGACTATGCCAAACTTGCTAAATAGATTAAATAATCCTTTTGGATCCATGGATTCTGGGATGTTATCCACAAACATAGTAACCAACACTGCCTTCTTGCGATATCCATGCTAATTTCCCATTTTTCTCCTTTTGATCAGCGGATTCTAACCTCCTCTCTCCATATCACTTATCCTCTCAAAACCATTATTTATCTCTCTTCTATGAATTGATTAATTGAAACCCTAAATACTGAATAATATTAAAAGGCTATATACATTTTTTGAATGCACACATCGTTTATTGAATAATTGACAATACTTGTAATAGTTTCTTGTGAACAAAATTTTCAAAATTAGTATTGATAAACCCTACCTAATAAGATTGACTTTATCATAAAAAATTAAAAATAAATAAGTAAATTAGCAATATTATAAGGTTTTGGTTTGAGATATTGCCCGTGACCCAAAATGGTTTGCCCATAGTTTGTAGTTCCTAAGAGCTAAGATCACAATAAGAATTTTATTTTATGTCAAGGTTTATTGGTGTAGTAGAAAAGCAACAAACATAGAGATCGTTTAAGCTCAACACTCGAGTTGAAGTTCCAAGATCTCCGTCCCTACCCTTCCCCAATGAAAAAAAAAACAAAACGAAACAAAAAAAACAAAACAGAGAGAGAGAGAGAGAGAGAGAGAGAGAGATGTTTGGCCTCTTTTTTATTTTTTATTTTTATTTTCTAGCTCACTAGAGTTGGTTTAGAGTTCGAAATTTAGGAGGATGTATCATTGTTGATATATTATTATGATCCACTACCAATAAATATATACTTTTTATACAATTTTTTTGTTTGGGTATGGTAATTTTTAGAGAGTTGAGCGAAGTACCCTAATTACAATTTTATGCCAATTTAAGGACCAAAAAGGAATCTCCATCCAGAGAGAGAGAGAGAGAGAGAGAGAGAGAGAGAGATGTTTGGCCTCTTTTTTTATTTTTTATTTTTATTTTCTAGCTCACTACAGTTGGTTTAGAGTTCGAAATTTAGGGGGATGTATCATTGTTGATATATTATTATGATCCACTACCAATAAATATATACTTTTTATACAAT